TTACCTTTGTGTACGTTGAATACGTTTAAATAAGTAAACTGAAGCATAAGTGGGAATAATTCAGGACAATCCTTTCAAATTACTGTAATTGAAATTCATGGAATTTCAACCAATTTCCCCCATAGTTAAAGTGTTTGCATTCAACGTTAGTTACTTAGAACAACCTACTCATATGTACCCTTACTCTAACTTGCGGCGTTTTTCGTTGCGTCATTAATGCGTCTTCGAAGCAATGTGCTTTACAACATCCTGTATATATAAGCAATGCACATTACATGTACATACAACAGTATGTACATATAATAGAACGTAGATACAAGCAATATACAGCATCTCATAGTTAAAGAGTTTAAATTGAACGTTATCTACTTAAGTCAACTTACTAGCAGCAACTCCTATATTATTTTTTGTTTTTTTCGTTGCGTAATTAATTCTTTATTTAAAGCAGATGTTCCGATAATGATACATTTTCTTGGTATGGCTAATGTATAATGTAAGAAATAGATAAAGGTATTCAGTGAATGATCCTTCTAGGGTGTCACTTTAATATCAAGAGGGATTGCTCAAGATGTTATGAGATACTAAAAGTAAATGCTCCAATTATGAGCCATTTTCTTGGTATGGCTAATGTACAATGTAATGAAATAGGTAAATATATTCAGTGAATGATTACATTTACTTTAATATCAAGTGGAATTGTTCAAGATGTTGTAAGTTCCTGAAAGCAAATGCTCTAATTATGATCCATTATCTTAGTATGGCTAATGTATAATGTAATGAAATGGTAATGTAATGAAATGTATAATGTAGTGATTCAGTGAAAGATCCTCCTCGAGTGTCACTTAAATATCAAGTAGAATTGTTCAAGATGTTGTGAGTTCCTGAATTGGGTTTTGGTGGTTATTTTTTTATTTTTTTGCTTCAATGAATGATTTTTGTTTCATGAATAATTTAATTAAGACTCTTTTCAAAAAAACCCATAATATTGGTGAGGATTCCCCATGTGCTTTTGATTGTTATAATGTGTCCCTAATAAAAAGGTTATCTTGATAAAGTCAGCATGCCTCTAATAAAGCCACTTCAAGCATGGGTTTGAGAAAAATTACGTTGTAAATAGATTTTTAACTTAAAACATATAAATTAGTCATTGCATATCAAACTAATCTGATTTTAGCAGGCATGCACTTTGGAACCTCAAAATCTACACTGAAAAAATTTATGTTCAAAACTACTAGATTAAAGAAACATTTAACCTGATTTTGACTCTATAGGAACACCAAAATGCACTGTAATTTTTACCGAAACGCTTTGGTAATGATTTTGGTAAAATTTGCAATAAAATTTTATTTTATAATATGAGTTAAAATTTTTAATTGTGGTAAAATCTTGTAATTTTGTCATGATTAAATTATGTTGATATGTTAAAATTTTAAATGTGGTAAACTTTGAATATTATATATGGAAATTTTTAAAATTTTTCGACCCCTCGTATAAATGATATTAAATCAATAAACGATATCAATAAACAATAAGTGTCAAAAGAGATTCCTCTTTTGATAATATTATACTCACAAAAATGATGAGTATTTTATTTTAATGCAATTCAAAATAAAATTAATTGCAATAATAATACTTGCATGTGAGTACATAAATTAAATGTGATTATTAGAATTAGAAAAAAAAATAAGCTTGTTACGATTTTTAATCATTTAGTTAAAGAAAAGTGTGAAAATATGTGCATATATAGTAAATATATATATTATAATTGCATTTGAATGTCATTTTAGTACAGAATTTTTATTATACAATTTACATAATATTTCTTCTGACACTTAAAAGAAAAATTAGTTTTTCTGTATAAAGGGCTTAAGTAATTCAAGAATAACTATTAGTATCGTCTGTTATTCTGAAACTGAATTTTTAATGAGGAATTTGTAAAATTGTGCATGACCTAATATTATTGCAATTGTGTAAGTTTCATGCAGTTAGTTCTGTAAGATCCTTAAATTTAAGGACTAAGATAATGTATACACACACACAGATATACATAGTCCGTGTCTTACCGTGTTTTTGACTCTATGAGAATGGCAAAAAAGCGGTAATTTTTACCAAAGCACTCTAATAATGATTTTCGTAAAATTGTCAATAAAATATGGTTTTATGCTATGTGATAAAATGGTAATTTCATCATATATATATATATATTTTATGTNCTTAATTTCGTTTCATTAAATCGGGCATTAAATTTATGTGCTTAGTAGTTAAAACGGTGTCTTTTAAGCTATTTTTTTGTGTGTATTCTGGTCTTGAGAATAAGATCACTAGAATAGACTAGCATTTTCATTTATATATGATTATCAAACCATTAAGGGATTTAAAATAACTAAATTCGTAAAATATCAATAAACTACACATAAAACATGAAACAAGTATTTATTTTCCAAACATACAGATCGTATATTTATTTAGAAACAGTAGTATAAACTTGTAACACACGGCAAAATCTTTGATCGTAGGCTTCAGTTTTACATATGTATGCATATATATGTATATATATATACGTCATGACTCTGTATAAGTCATGAATTTATGCTGAAATTATAAATTGGTGTAAAGGTTGCATTGATTATGTCTGAAAACCTATTAGGTAAAACAAATTTTATTTCTATGTACGAAATTTAGAATAAAAGAAAAAATTTATTTCGAATGCTTGTTAAACTATACATGCTTAAATATAAAGTTATTACTGTAATATAATATATCAAGTCCTTATTTTGTAGGAAATTTATTTACTTGGGACAATTAAAACTATACAAACTTTTGTATTTTGAATTCTTACAAAATTAAATACAAATGTATTAATCTAATTCAAATCAGATACGTTTTTTACAGTCAAACACGCTATTAAAATTTAATTAAATGTAAATAATGTTTAGTTAAATTTGGTTTTAAATTTGTTCGTATATTCTGGTGTACTTATCTTTAACTTATTTTCTCAGGAAGAAACTTTTTCAATACGACCTTTATTTATCAAATTTTATGATTAGTTCTACTTAAATGTTAATACTTTTTAATATTCCGTATTTATTGAAAAAGTGAACCATTTTGATAACCAAATAATTGTTGGTGAGTTATAGTAAAGAAAAAAGTATTTATTTTGAACTATTTGAAATTTTGAGATTGAATTTAGCAACTAACTCATTTAAAAAAAGGCTAAGCTATAATTGATTTACAGTATAAATTTTAGAAAATAATAAACAACTTTACGGCAAAATTTATAACCAACAACAAATATTACAAGAGTTAAGACATTCATTTTATTTTTAATTTCATTCTTTAGCATTCATTAATATGAAAGTGACATGCGTTTTTTACAAATTTGAACACTGAGTGATTTGACGGAAAATGTGTGCAAGTTGGAATGTAACAGCAAATATAATTCTTTATATCCTGAAAAAAATATATTGTTTACATTCGAAACACTGACAATGCATAATGTGCACTTGTTATACTTCAAATAAATAAAAAATTCACATCTATTCAGAAGCCATGCATTTCAAATAATTCAACTTTATTTATGACTTTTATTTTAAATATTGCATCAGTATTTTGTTTTCTATATATCCTTAAGCAAACAGATTTTAAAACTAATACAATAATTTTAAGCGAAATGAAGCACCAATATAAAAAAACTCATTATTTAATTTATCCTAAATTCAAACAATAATCAGCATGTTGAGAAATTTTCATTATTTTAAGAATGAGATACTTTATTTATCTAAAATAGTATATTAATGTTTTTTATTCAGTGGCTATTTTGTAATTAGCATTTAAATGTTTCAGATTTCAAATAATTCAATTAACAAGCTATTCAGATTAACAAATTTCTTTTTAAATCATATATAGAGTAGAATAAAATAAAGCATTTGCAGGTATTATTATTTTATATTAGTTTATGAAATAAAGTATTATATATCAAAGTTTTAGGGAAAAAATTAAATTTAAAATATTGAGAATTAATAATACATCTATATGCATTTTCTGAAAATCGTGCTTTTTATTTATTTAAGATTTTGCGGTAGGTATTAGAAATTTTTAACATCATATATATGTATATACTTAATCTTTTTTCCGTAACTCTCACAGTGAGTTGAAAATACAAATACAAAAAGTGTAATAAAATATCTATAAATTGTGTATGTACAGGCGAGTTGACACCAAATTTTTGTTAACTTTTGGAAACTCAAGGCAGCAATGTAAAACTAAGCACTTTGCTGCAATCCAGTTTTGAAGGAAATTTTAGTTGTTCTTTAATAATATTTCATATCAATTATTGCTTTATTTCAAAAATTATAAAATTTTATATAACTCTCTAAATTCTAGAAAAAATTGCAATTTTTTATTTTTGCCTACTCACAAAATGTACAGTCAATTTGAGGTATAATCATAAGGAAGTTATATATATCAAAGTAAGATTAAATTGCAATATTATGATATAAAATCAAGCTCGTGCATAAGAATTTTATTTTTATATTTAAATATTTTTCTTCAGTGATGCGATTAATCATATATTTTAAAACAAATACTTAAGTAAGCAATATAAAATAATACGAAGTTTGAATGATGAAAAAGAAATTGCTTTTTTAAACACTACAATCAGAAAGTTAACATAGAATTTTCTACCCCTTTATTTGTTATAATGTGATATATAAGATGTCTAGCAACATAGAAATATAACTTGGATCTTACCCAAAACTATGAATGAAACAGAACTATGTTTGAACTGTATGAAAACAAAGTCTGAATTGTTGGTGTTGAGAGCATTTCAAACTAAAAACTAGTTCTATCTTTACAAAGAAATAGCTGCATAAAAGTTTTTTTTAATTACTACAGGATTTTTATAGTCATACAGTTTTTTAACCAACTGTTATTTTGTTTTCGTAAAATAAGTTGAATGCACTATATATATATATATATATATATATATACNGTATTATTGCGGCATATCCTTAGTTATTGGGGTGTATAAAGTTTTAAATTTATTGTTATTTTTACTGTTTTATTTTTTTTAAAAACTAAAGTATGCAAAAAGAATTTTCCTTTTTATAGAACGAGATTTCCTTATATAAATAGAACTTTAGGAAACAAACAAGGCAATTTAGTGTCACACTCGCCTTTTATACATACAGGTGAATACAGTACACATTACAAACACAATATTCCCCCATAAGCTTCTATCACACATGCGGGCTATCCATTGGGAAGTCTTCCGTTGGCACAGGTCTGGATTCTTTAAAGTCTCGTCGCCGGCAGCGAACCATTATCAGAGTTAAAGCCAACAAAAGTAGGATAGCACCAGCAGATATTCCACCCACTATATATGTGGTTGGAAATTTGTCACAGTGGACAGGAGCCTCATCATACCCAGATGGGCAATGCTTTCGTCCGTCACACCAAAGTTCAGGTCCTATGCAGGCATTTAATTCTGGACATTCATACGGACAGTTCATGTCTCTTAGAGTCTGTCCTGTACGAGTTCTGAAAAAAGGTTTGGTCACTTCTAACCACTCAAAGCGAACTGTTTCGGCATGGTTGGCCAGCACTTCAATGTACACGTGATCGCGAAGTACGTAACGACCACCACTGTCTTGAGCCGAATCATTGTACCAATAGTTTGAAAAAACGTCAACTTCTCGTTCGTCATCACCAGCTGCTGACGAAGATGCAGATTCTGCGCCAGCAATAGAAGGTGGGTTTTTATGCCCGCCATGTAAGCAGACTACTGATAGTGGTTGTACTGGCAATCCAGCATACACAATAATTTTGTTTCCAGAATGGCAACCTTCACCTCCGTCTGTGCCTTTGAATCTTAAGTAGAGATATTTATGAGGTGCCGCCTCAAGAAGCCATCGACATCGAAGAGGCATTGCTCGTCCCTCGACTGTAGTTGGTACTTGGAAAACAACCTAAAATAAATAAAATAAAAGTTTACAATTTTTAACTTATAAGTATTTGAACACCAATTTTAAATAATCTTGTTCAATATCCGTGATTAATAAAACTTTTGCGATGCTATTTATGGCACAAAACTATTGAATTCGTAGTGTATATATTACAGAGCATTAGAAAATTTTTGGCTAATACATTTATTTACTGATAAATGAGTGATAAATGTGCGAGAGAACGAAGAATGGGAAAAAGTGCGAGCGCACGCAATGGGAAATGAAGCTTGGGACGTGAGAAATTGCACAGCTCTCGTTTTCTGACCTATTGAACAATTTGGAACTAAGTAATTTTAATTAATTAATAGAAAATTTTAGCTATGTATTCGTATTCTAATATAAAATTATGATTCCAGTTTAAAATACGTATTCCCAATAAACCAAGAGTTTTTTTCGAAATGGTTCTTTTTATAGTTTCTTTGACTTTGTTCAAACTTAAGAGAATGAAACAAAAGAATATCATGCATTTATAGTAGATTTACATATTTATCTATTTTAGTGTTAAAAAAGCCAAACGGAAAAAAGTACCATAAAAAGCTGATTAATACAGTTTTTCCAGTATTTTTCAAAATCATTTGTATAAAATTGTGAATCATCTTTAAAAGAATTGTTTTCATTAAACGATTGTAAATAAAATTCTTCATACAAAAATGAGATTTTTGTTCTTAAAATGCATTTGTATAGTAATTAATTGAAGTGATGAAATTTTTTTTCTTCAAAAAACAAATTCAGAAACTATGCATCAAAGGTGTTGTTTCAACTTTTTACCAGATAACACTAAACATATTGTAGAAATTATTTCTTTCTTGGTTTGTATGTCCAAAAAAAGAATTACATACCATTGATCTAATATTTTTAAAGGCATTAAAATAAGCTTTGATATAAATTGTATTCGTAAGTTATTGTGTTATATATTTTCGTATATAAATATTTCGTATAAAATTAGAGACATTTCAAGACAACATTTTTTGATTAAATGCTTATTGAATCAATAGGAAAATGTGATCATTGCATTGAAAATGCATTTATTTAATAATTTACATGGTAAAAAATTATTTCTTTTAAATTCCAAAACTATGTATCAAAGGCTTCATTTAAACTACTTTTTCTAGATAACGTAGAACGTATTCAAGAATTTTGTTTCCTTAGTAAAGGCAAAAAAGCAAGAACACGAAAAAAAACTGCTATCTAGCATTTTTAAAAGTTTAATGTCTAATTTTTTATGATTTACGGTTTTTACATAATACTTTTAAATTTTTAAACATTTCTTAACTGTCATGTTTTACTATAAATTATGTTAACCATTGTTAACATGACAGGTGGATAGGAAAACGTACCGCGAAACAAAACTCGTAATTTTTGGAACGTAGTTTGGATTACGAAAAGTATCCCTTAGTTTTTCTCAAGGAAAAAATTTTCAGCTCAAAACATGCAGTTACAAAAAAAAATTTCTTTTTTTGTAAGTCAACTCATTTAAATCAATTCTCAGATAGCCTGAATAAAGGTTTTTAATTCTTAAGCCTGTTTTTAGTCAAGTGATCTGTGTAAAATTAAGAACAGTAATAAAATAATCTATGAAAGGGACAAAGCTTTTTACTGATAATTCTAACTCTATGAAAGTGTAAATTTCCCATTTAGTAACAATAAACTTAAAATAAAATTCATTAAAAAAGAATGAAGCTTACTTCGCCTTCGCTTGATCCATTTTTCCTGTGGATATCAGCATCACATAAAGATATAGGCATGAACTCATAAACAGCATCAAAACCAAAATTGTTAAAATCATCAAAAGGGGACATATTAGATACAGAAAATGAAACTTTGACATAATTTGTTACAGATTCGATCACCAGTGGTCTTCTGGGTTCAGATTGTAATTCACAAAAGCAAGCTAGGGAAGATTGGATATTCCCAGTTGTCTTTTCTATCACATTAATACTAGCAGTTCTTTTCGGCGACCTATAACTTTTCACACTACGGCATGTGTGCCGTTCCATCACAGGGTCATAATGGTGCTCACAACTCGATGAACTCAACCGTATATCTGTGAATGTCAAAACAATTCTTTCACTAGGAAGTCCTAAAAATTCGTATGTACAGGAAACATTCAGAGTTCCACCCCGTCCAAAAAAGAACACATTTTTTGGCGAAGATACTGTTCCAATGTGATTCGTTCTACTATCAAACCGTCTGTCGCACGGATTGTGGCTGTTGGATATAGCCATGCCATGCTGCCTCATATCAACAAACTCATATCGCAAAATAAACGAACTACTTGAAGTTGATAATTCGGGTGTAGTGAAAACATTGTGTTTAACAATGAGTCCCGGACCACGTGATAAATAACTTTCATCGGGAACCTTACATGGACGGACTGGAACATAGTCAGGTTTATCAGCTGCTCGGGCACAGACCTTTGGAAACGTTTTTTCACAAAAACGATAAGATGGTTCGTCTGACTTCTTATCCGGAAGACTTCGTTCATTTCCGGCATCTTCAAAATTTGAAGTTACAAGTAGAGCAGCTGCATCTCTTTTTCGGGCACTGCCTGTTTCATAAAGCTCTAACTTACCAACTTCGCAAGTTTCTCTCCTTGACCAGGGATGCTTGTCTTCGACAAAATACGATAAGAAATAAAACCATACCCTGTCATGCGCGTTCGCACCTTGTAGTTTGAAAGAACATGTCGTATTTCTTGGAACTGTATGTCGAGGGCTGTAAACTAATCCGTAGCGGTGTTTCGAGCCTTCGATTGTGAAGTCACATTTACCATTGTGTGCACGGTAGTCGGTGGTATCTGTGAATCTCACTTCCACGTTTATTTCAGCATGGGAGTTATGCATTACTTGGTTTGGTATGCTATATAGCTGCACTAAAATCTCTGAACTGCTTGATATAATCTGAAAATAGGACAACATTTAAATTGTATTTCTGCATGAAATGCATAGCTTATAATGTACGATAAAGAAAAGTTCAACAATGGTAATTATTTTACCAACATATTTCAGAAATACTTAACTGTTTTATTCCCTCAAACAATTAAATAATTTTAAATTTTTTCAATACTTTTTGTAATGGCAATTAGGCATCGAATATCTGATTAATTTTAAATAATTGCATTAATATTTTCTTTTATGAAAGTCAGGGACACATAAATTTAAAACATTTTAAATCTCTTTAACGCTTTTGAAATAATGCTATTAATTTCTTTCAAGAAATTAAATAAATAAGGGGCTAATCATAATTATAAGGTAATATAACAAAGAAATGTTCGACTTATTTAAAAAAAAATACAATATAAATTAACGATATTTTAAATTACAACAAAAATTAGAATCATAACTTTTTGGACATAAGTATAAGCTTAGGTAAACATATAGTGAGTATGATTTGTACGCTAAACGAATAGCAAAGCAACCAAAAAATATTCATTGGAATGTTTATATTTTAAAAAGAAAGTTTCAAAAGGATATCTTTGCTCTTTAAATTTAGTGGTAAGAGGGAGAGGGATCTATTGTATGTGCAAAGTATCTATAGTATGTATATTTTGCCAAAAAAGCTTACTATTCGATACAGTTTTAAACATATCTAGTATGCTTTTTTTTATTAAAATTTGAACATATATCTTCATTTTAAATAATGCATGCGCTGATTTGAATAATTACTATTTCAGTAACCTTAAAATAAAGAAGCATTTTGTTTTTGTCTGCACTAGTACATTGACATTGAACTAGTGTGTGCAACCATAAAACAATTTATTTAATCTATCGTTGCTTTTGAAAAGTAAATAAAATCAAAATGTGACTACTATTAATCTTAAGTTACGGTTTTCGGTAAATAATCTTAATAATGTTTAGCTTAATATTAATATTAAGCTTGATAGTAATGTTAAGCTCAAAAAGAACTTATATACATAGATGTCAAATTTAGTGTGATTCAATGATTTTCCCTCATTCTGTGAAATTATTGCGAATGTTGCACATTACTATTTGATTTGATAACTTTTATTTGTAATGATTCTGAGCACCACAGCTTAAAAGTAATTTTAAAACATATATGAGGCCCATTAATCATACCTTTTTGTTTTTGAGAGCTAAAAAACAGAACAAATTTTACTTCCATAAATTGTAATTACGCTATTACTTTTGAAATTGAAGGAATATATAATTTTCAGGTCTGTAACTATGATAGTACTAATTTACATTTAAAAACTGAATTCTGTTCTTACTACTAAGAAAAATATTTAAAAAGTAAGTGACTGCCTTGAACGTGTATTGCTCTTTTTATGTAGTCACTTGCCAGCATTAAAATTGCAAATTTTAAATAGTTTTACTATCTATTCAGCAGAAAGTAAGATTAGGTAATTTGTTAAGAGGTATAGGTTTTTATTTTATAATTTGAGACATAAGTACTGAAATGTAAACAATTTCTTATCAAATTACAGTAATATGCACCGGGACTCAAGTCGCCACAACTTTTAGGGAAAAAATATGATATACTGAAGTTTTCATACACAGTCCTATTTACTGTAAAATCAATGTAATTAATTAAATATTACTGTCAAAAAATTCGGTATAAATTTTTACGGTAAAAATGGATTTTGCGATAAAATGGATATTACGGAAACCAGTGTTTTGGCCGTAATTTGATCCGAAGTTTCTTACAGTATAATGGAACATTGGAAATTCACAATATACTCTAGCAGTTATCAAAATTTTTAATTAAACTAATTGAAATGTCTTAAAGCATTAGTTTTTCTGAAATCTCTCGCACTACAAGAATTAATTTGATTTGAAGTCATGTAAAAAAAAGTTAACAAAATAAGTTTTTACAAAATTTATCTGATTTATAAAATAAACACCTTAATAGGTGATTCACTAATAATTAACCCACATTATCACTTTGGAAATTTGCCCGAAGTGTTCTTTTATTTTTATTTTATAGAAATCGAATAGCAGTAATGAATGCAAGAATGATCTTGATCATTCCATACATTTCTGACCAAATATACAATTTTGTAAAAAAAAAAAAAAAAAAAAAAAAAAAAAAAAAAAAAAAAAAAAAAAAAAAANAAAAAAAAAAAAAAAAAAAAAAAAAAAAAATCAAAAAATCAATCTGTTGTTGGAATAAAAATTCTATCACCTTTTGTTGAAGTGGTGGGAATTTCTTTTTTTTTATATTCGATTACAATAACAAATGTACTTCTTAATTTATTTTTACATACTGCAATTATATATTTTTCTAAATCCATAGAGTAATGTTACGATGATTGCTTTATAATTTATTTAAATATGATTGTATGAAATAATATGTATTTAATTTATATATCCATATTTCAGGCAAAACAATTTATTTATCAATATATGAGTTTTATGAAACCTACTTCAGGGAGTGTTCCAGCACCACAAAATTCAATAAGCAAAGGAGAGGTGATTGTTGGTCCGTCAAATATCCTAATTACATCACTGTAGCATTCTTCAGTAAGTGAAACATGCGGATAGGACATAGGATTGGACCGACCGGTATATAACGAAATCTTGTACTCGTTACTTTGAGAAAGGACTATGTTTGCATGCTTGCCATGTGGCACATGATCCTGCCGCACCCAAAAATGGCACGTTATGTTCCTAAGATAAAAACCTGGGAAGTTCGGAGACCGGATGGCACATTTCTTTCGATCACAGTTAACAAGAACCCTATCACAATAAGTGTTCATAAGTCTAGTCCCATAATAATAATTGTTATTTGAAGATCCGTGAGGTTTGATTACAGATGGATGCTGTTGCTCTTGCTGTTGTGGTTGGGAAGGTGGATGAGGTGCAGTACTCTGTGTAGAAGGAGCTGCGTCTCTAGGAAGAAACTTATAAGTCAAATATACACTAAATGAAAAAGGGTGGAGCGCTGTTTTGCCAGGGATGACCACTCGCAGTGTGACATTGTTGCCTTCAGTGTAGAATGTAGCACTCTTGCCAATCATGTCTCCACAGAATCGGCCAAAGTTTGGGTTCCCCCTTGTAGTATCAAACAGGGATGACAACTGTTCAGTGGGTTCTTTCAAAGCAGAAATCAATTGTGTGAATCCTCTTGTTTGTTGACTATGAAGAGCGTTAGTCACAGCTGGTGGCTCAATTATTTGTAAGTATCCTTTCTGGCAAGACAGGTTGTAATTGCTAGAATATATACAAAATGCTAAATAAGAAAACACATCTAATCAAACAATTTTTATTATATGATATTTTTCAGAGATAAAACTGATATTTTTTATTTATTTATGTAATTGATTAGATTTCGCAACACATATATTTTAAGAGATCAGGAACTTCAAATTTGCCGCAATCGTAAGAAAGTAATGAGGTGAACCAAATTAAACCTATGCTAATAAAGTTCGTTTTTAAGGCAATTTTTTTGCAACTTTAACTCATTTTTATGTTTGCACGAAATATTTGTTTTAGGTTCTAATAATATGTTGCAACATTGAATTGATTTTACTGAAAGTGTCGGGACAATAACACAGAATTATGGAAAAAGGAATTGGACGAATGTCGAATATGCTCATCTTTCTCAGTTAGATATGTTGAATGCTGAGAATTATCTAAAATTAAATTCATATGTGATTAAAACATTGTTTTTTGTTTGAATTTTTTTAATTTAGATTCAAAAATTTCAAGCAATTTTGCTCATAATTTCTGTCTAGGTTTTTAAATATCATTTTGAACAATAGGATTTTAATACATTATTGCACAGTAGTATTTAATAAATTATTTAAAATTACATAATTACGCATTAAAATTGCATAATTACACATTGAAATTACATAATTACACATTAATCATCTTCCCATTCAATTTTGAATCAAATAATTTAATAATAATCTATAGAATTACATGACTTTCAATTTCGTTTTAATGTGAGCTATAACCGAGACACCTAAGTGATCGAGAGATTGAAATAATTTTGCCAAAATTATCTGTTTTTAGAAAAATGTAAGAGCTGCATAACATTTAACTACTCATGAAAATGAGTTTAATCAAAAATAACAAATAAAAATCAATTGTGAGTTTAATCTTGTTTCTCGCAATACTGTCGTTAATTTGCTTTTTGCTTTAAAAAACTTATCTACTCTTACGATTATCTAACTTAAAAGTTTCTGTAGATTATTAAGCATTAATACATATTGTGCTATAATATTAAATGAAAATAAATAACATAGGATATTTCAATCTTATTTAAAGCTTATTAAGACGATTATTAAAGCCTTCAGTTTTATTCAAAGCTAATTATCTTAACCAAACCATATTGTCGTTGGAAAACGAGTGCGTAATCTGAGTGAGTGAAATGTGCACAGTAATATGGTAACACAATTAGATACAGCATTAATCTGTAGGGAATTTGTGCAATATTATGGTGCAATTTTCAGTTTCAGAACACTAAAAAAAATTAATTCTTGTTGTACCATGTTGAAATGCCTTATTGATAAAAAATGCGGCGAAATATTGTACCGTATTGCTGTCCTCATTTGATTCACCCACCTTTTTTTTTTCAAGACAATATGGTTTAATTTAAGGAGAAACAGGATTCAACGTCTTAATAAAATTCAGATATAATTGAAAGATGCTATGCAATTTATTTTTACGTAAAAATTTTTAAATGTGTAAGGATTTAAAAGATATTGACTTACAAAGCATTTAACTACTTTATCATTTAATCAAATGATCTACATAGTAAAAAAGTAAAATTAAGAAAAATACTATTCCTGTCATAAAGAATACTTTGAAACATTTGAAAAATTAAAAATATTTTACTTTTCTTGTTCAAGAGTTCCAATTTGGAATGATAGGAAGGTTAGCTGAACAACATCTCCGTAGTCACCCCCAGCAGCAACAAAAGTCATGGAACATACGTAAGGTAGTGGCCTCTGAAAAGGGGCTGTCATCCTCAGAGCATTCTTTATATTTACTTCAGAGTAGAATGTGCGGTTACAGTCTGAAAATTGTAATTATAATAAATCAGTTGTATTCTGTTATACGTCATAGGCATGTTGAATATGTATGTTTATTTTTAGATTAATATAAGCTATTGAGAAAATCTTCTTTGCATCGCTTTTTCAATTGTATACGTTACGCCTCAAATAAAAATGTAGTAAAATTTTTAATTAAAGAGGATAATAAATTAGTCGTGGTCTTTTGGGTATTTTAGCTAACAATAATTTGAATTATGTTAACATAAAAGATAATTGGGTGTTTGTAAACAATGGAATCAAGTAACTTAGTTGCCTTATTTTGTTTTACAATCCAAATATTTACTGTTTTACTAGATAAAAGCTGTCACAAATTTTTTTAAAATAAAATTGAGCATGGTCAACTGGTAGTTAAAATTCATAATTTCTTTTCCGAAATTATTTGACCAATAATTTCACAGTTTTTATTTTTTAGAAATTTGAAAGAAAAAAAATATTCGACTGCATGATTCAATTGCATGATTAAATTTATATAAGATTCACGAATATATGAATATGTATAAGTTACATATCTGTTATTCTATGTACATAATAAGAGATAATATATGAATGAATTTGTAAATTATCTACGCTTCGAGACTACGTATATATTTAACCGGAAACTTCATGAAAGCTCATTCACAGCAAAAAAATCATTCTGAAGTAAATCTTTACTCCGAATAAATAGTTTTAAAGAATAAAATTACCAAATAAAAATGATATAAAAGTTAAAATATTTCATTTCTACCATTTTTAATTAATCATATATAACCAACTTTTATTACAAAGCGTTTTTTCGATTGATAAACTGTACTGAGTTTTTAAATTTGCATCTAAGGATTAATGTTGTGCATTAAATTTACAGATCCGAATTCTTCCAAAAACTTTTGAATTTTCTTATTAGAGTGATTTTATTAATTTAACTACCGAAAACAACAACCAACCAATCTAAGATAGATATTTTTTATATAAAATACTAAAAACTATTTTGAACAGATTAACATTGTTTGTTTCTGATTTAGTTGAAGGGAACTGACTTGTGCAGGCGGATGGTTCGTCACTCAAGTCTCCACAGTCATCGTTGCCGTCGCAGTATCGGCCAGATTCAATGCAGCGCCCGTTGTCACACGTGTGTTCAGAAAGGCGACAAACAGCCCAGCACTGGCCCAACACCGTCAGACAGAGGACGAGGGGAAGGGACAGCCATCCCATCCTCCTCCTCCCCCTCAGCCGGCCCCATACATTTCTCACCCCTCCTTCCTTCTCCCTTCTTTAGACACACTGCACTCTAGACACCTGAAGAACAAAATATACTCGTTGTATACAGGTTTTAAATGTTCTTATGCACATAAAACTACTAAGAATTCATAAAGAAAAATACTAAGGATTCATAAAATACAACAATCTGATATGTTGAAAAGTATTTTTTAAGGCTAAAAGCATATTTTGTACATCAATTTTGTTTAAAATAAGAACGGCGATTAACATAAAGGAAATGAAGTGTGAAGAATTGTATATGAAGAAATACCTCAGGAGAAAAAGTGATATGCTATATTTAGAAAAATAATAAATAATGATTTCCCCTGTTGTAAATAGTTACATCAAACAAAATCCTCAATCTTTAACGGAATCTTAATGCGTGTCTTTTTCGATAAATACAAAACTGCTGTCCATCTTATTTTTAATCCCGAGGTCTTCAAATAAGACAGGCGCACAGATAACTTAAATTTTTTTTTTTTATTTATCGAAACAAAATACTTCAATACTAGCTTGAAATTATTAGTTATAAGTTATTGAATTTAATCCTGAGTTTTTAAACTGGTCAAACACTTCTTAGGATATTATAATTGACTTAGAATTCAACTTTAATTATAGAATGACTTACATATTACGGTGTCTCGATATTGGTATTATCAAAAAATTTAGAATTTTAATACAACTTATGCCTCAAAAGTATTCTTTTATGTTCTTTAATACGAAACAAAGAATAATTTTTAATTTAAACAATTTTTAAATATCCCCCTCCCGCTTTGAAATTTCGACACCTTTAAGTTTTTAATACAAAATTTTATTTTTTTGCTAAAGCAACATTATTTTAAGACCCAGGGCTCCTCAAAAATTATTTTTAAGATCCTCAATTAAGAATAAATGAAATTCGTTGCATTCATTGCATTTTTATTGCCCATACTTGCTTTGAAAATTATTATTCTGCATTAAAAATTAATCTTCTGCATTGAAATTTGAAGACTACGTACACCATTTCAAAATTGTAGTTTGTGTTTCAAAGCTAAGAGCAGTGGGCCTAACAGAAGTTTCTATGTTTACCTTAGCGGAATATAGATATTAAAAAAAGCTTTCAATTTACACAAGTATATCTAGTAATACATGCTTAATTACAAGCTGTAATTATAAACTTCAAGGTTTTACAAAGTCATCTGATTTTGTATTAGATTTATTTAAACTTGTTTTCTTGATAGAATGTTTACCCAAAAATGTCCATTTTTTCCCCCTTGTCTCAAATTCTTGGTGATGCTTTTGCTACCACTTTCATCATTTTTTACCAACCTTGTGTGAAAGAAGTGTTGTATGTGATATTACGAATCGTCTAGTTTTTTGCCTTTGGCATTTGTACATAGAGAGTACGTGCGTAGCAATCGGTTGCTCTATTTTTCTGCTTTTCTATCGAATTCATGCTATTCAGTAGATCGCAAAGAGACTCATTTTGCAAGGTCCTTGGAGACTCCATGAAACGGTCAAACAAAATATCCCTCGCAAGTTCATTGAAATAATTAACATTTCCAGCTTAAATTTATGGGTACTTCGAATTGCCTCAATTATATTTCATTTTTTTAAATAGCTTTTAAAGAACTTTTCGATCCATTGTTCAGCCAATATTATGCATTTAATTTTTGAATTTTCAGTCCATATTTGCTTTATACTTTCTGTAAAAACAAATGCTTTGCCACTAAATAAAAATAAAACTTTTGCTCCTATGTCAAACTTTTGATGAATAAGAAGAAAATATTTCAGAACATCTTCACACCAAAAATATTTCTGACACTGAGTTCTTTAGAAGAGCCAAATTTCTTAAATGCTTGTGCGTTTTGACAACTTCAAGCATCTTGAACTATAAATCGTTTTTACAGCTTTCAATGTTTAAAAATAATTTCAGAACATCGAAATTCAATTACAATCATTTATGAGTAACTGTAATTCCATCTTCTATTTATAAATCAATGCAATTTGCATTAGCAAAAAGCTGTATAATTTATTGATTAACTGTAAGAAAGCAAAGTGAAAATTCCCTAATAATGCAAAATAATTTATTAAATTTGTTTACTAATATCATCTAGTAACGTGTTTTAATGAGAAAAAAATATTAAAAAAAACTATATATAAATAAATTGCTTGAGAGATCGGGTGTTTTTCATTCCTAAAACTAACTACTTAGAGAAAATGGAGTAACTAGTCAAAAAATTAAAGAACAAATTTCAAATTTTTAAAGCAATTGCTTGGTTTTTGAATATATTATAAATGCGATTTTCTTAAATTTATAATTGTGGGTCTTAAAACTAAACTTTTAGGTGGTCAGAAGTTATTAAGTAATGCAGCGTTTAGCAAAAATATAAAATTTTATTTCAAAAGTCGAAATTTCAAAGCCAGTATGGGATATTCAGAAATTCAGGAACCTAAAGTAAAACTTTTACGAAGAAAAGTGCTTCAAAACTCGTTGATAATGTGTTAAATTGTTAAAATCGAGGTACCTTAATGCATATTTTGCATGTTTCGGAAGGAAAATTGAAAATACGAAGGTTCATTGAAATTAATAAGAGAAAACGCTACTTGACGAACAAATAATGACACATAATGAACATGAGAAAAATTATGGATTACAGCAGAATATTTCCTATTTCAAACTTTAAACCGAGATAGTAAAAAAAATTACTTTTCAAATCCAAGACATTCATTAGTTTCTATAAACACTACCAACAATGACTGCCACTATTGATTTATAGAAAAATACGAAGACGAGTAGAAACAGGAAACCCAACATTTACACAAGACTGGCTAGTAGTGAGGAAATCAACTTTTCAAAGAGACTTCATCCGGGTGATTCCTTCAGAAGGATGATTGAAGATGAACCGAGAAGAGTAGATACGAAGCTTGGTATAAAGAATTGATCCACTGCAGAGCAAGTCTAATCTTGGCGGTCTAATGAAGTGATCGCAAACCACTCATTACGTCAAAAAGAATCGAGACTACTCAACTTTTTTTTTCCTTCCTTTTCGAGGATCTCTTATGTTCCTACTTTTTTTTTATCTTACAAATAAAAATGGTCGAACAAGAAGAAGCAATGCAATCTACTAAAATAAAGAGATGATAAAGAGAACTGAAATGAAGTGGTAAAGAAGGAGCTGATTGCGTGCCTCTTGATAAGGCAGTAAAATTTGGGGCATTCAATTCGAAATTAGATATATAATCCCATTTTTCTTTTTAAAGATTAGAATTCGTGGAATTAGATTTCTGGAATTGTGCCAACAGACATTATATAAAGTACTTGTGGAAATATTAGTGGCTGTAGATTTTTTCGGCTGTAGATGGTTTGATCGGAAAAAAAAATTTAAAAAAAATATTAGATCGATTTTTTTAATCAAGCACACTTATTGCTAAAATTGTTAATATGTTACACTTATTGTATTACTCTTATTGTTATGTTACACTTATTGCTAAAATAGTAATAATTAGGTCCGTGGTAAGTAAAAAAAAGTTCTGATGTAATTTTCTTCAACATTTTAATTCGAAACGTTATGCGTATAATTTTAATTTTCATAAGTTCTTTATAACTTTTTTTAGGTTGTAAGTATTGGAGAGATTGAATTACTTTATTGTTGTAATTTTTAGACGTCACATTAAGAAAGATACTTTTTAAAGTTATGTTTTTTAGGTCTAGTTCATCTCTAGGGCATTCCAAAACATAAAAAATTAGTTTTATATTTTATCATCAATGTAAATGAACAACAATTAGGGCTGAGTATAAAATACATTACTCCCATGGCTCAAAAAAGTAATAAAATATACAATGGAGCTAATATAAAAACAGTGAATAATTTGTACAATATTTGGAAAAAGCTTAAAACTGAGATACAAATAAAGCTAATAGCATCTGTTTTTAATATAGAATAAAACGCGTTTTCTCTCCCGTGGAGATGTTTTTCTGAACTGGATTTTTGTGATCTGTTAGCGGATTAATGGATTTCTGTGATCTATAGTACTTCGAATCGGACAAATTTAGTCAAAAGGTTTCTTTTTTTAGAAAGATTTCAAATTATAGCTACTTGAAACATTTTTACATACAAAGCATTTATACCTAGTTTGCTTTTAAATGGACTATTACTTTATTAGAATTTACTGTGCAGAAATCTGTTTTGATATTAATCACGACATCATAAGATAATATAAGCAATTAAATTTTAATCTGAAGTGAAAGAGCAGTGCGTTTTTAAAGCTAAAGCGGTGGAAAACGGAAAGAAATTGTGTACTTCCATTTCTTTGATTTAAGAAAATTTTATATACAATCACTTTTTATAGATGAAAATTAATGGGTTAAGACAGAGGCTCTCAAATGTTGTTCCGCAAAACCCTGGGGTTCTGAGAGTTTAAAATTTTTTAGACTAGTTACGATTTTTAGCACCTATCATTATATATTCAAATCAAACAACAAACTATTATTTATTTTATATTTTGGTTAGTTTTATAAATTAAAATAAAAACGTTGAAAAAGAATGAGAATATTTAAAAAAAAATTCTTTCCATAACAATGTATAAAATAAATTATGCTAAGAACATTATAATACAATTTTTATAAGAAAAAAATTATTATTATTTCTCATCAATCTTTTCACTTCTGTATAAGAAGATTAAGTTCTATAATAATGAATTATATTTCTCTGATAACCATTCTCAACGCTTATAAGTTCTTTTTCAGGAACTTCAGTGTACTTCATTCATTTTCAGCCTTTGCATTTATTAAAAACAATCTCAGAACTAGTATAAATGCCACTCCACACTGTTAGAAATTTTTCTGAAAAGGTGGTTAAATAACAATTTATTTCATTGTTATTTTACCTTTATTCAAATGAAACAGTAAAATAATTATAAATAAGATAGTATTCAAACTGCGAACTCTGAAAAATCGGTTATTAACCGCTATCACTTGATACGGCTAAGCAACCAGAATTTTATCGTACCGACTAGACCCGTCTAATGAAGCCATTTAGTTCCTTGAAGATGCATAC